GATCCATTATCCGATTTTTCTTTTAATTTTAATTTTTTTAAATATAAAAAAGTGTGAATTTACCATATTATCCTCATTTAATTAATAATTTCAATTCTTAATGTTTGCATTAACCAATGGCATTTTCTAGTATTTTGAATGTTTCACCATTCTCTACCTTTTGCTTTATATATATAGATATATATACTCTCTTTTTTTGGGGTCAAAAGATGGAAATTCATTGATAGAATAGAATACAAGAGCCCAAAGGCCCTACAAACATAACCCATACACAAACCCACTACAGGACTCGTACAGATTACACTGGGGTACATTGAAATTGTCTGCTATGGTACCACCCCAAGACATTACCCTAAAGAAAAATATATTAGTTCAAACCTTTTGGAAATGGGCGTCTCATCAATAACATGCATTTCAAGATACAAACAACTTTAGTTCTGCATAAATGTTGATTGACATTAATAGGATTTGTTAATATCAATCCACAAGTGGAAGGCTTCCTGTCATCGCAATATGGTCAAGGGTCTGTCTTAGACCATGCTTGAGTACTGCATTTCTACCTAAGCTGAACCCTTCTCCACTATCTGACTCAATTCGGCGTTGATAAAAGTTACCAAGCTTCTTCTCAAAGTCTGACCCAGAATTCATCACAAATTCCAGCCACATATGGGCCAACACGTGGCCCATATCAATTTTAACCTGTGGGTTCATATTTCGAATTCGATAACATTTAACCTCTAGCCATGCTCGCATCATAGTCCGAGCCATAATGACCCCTGTCGTCGGCCTAGGAAGACCACTCAGTATCGTAATTGCTGTTACTTCAGGGCGCTTCAAGCTGAAAAAATAAGACCTCTTGGTGTTGGTAGTAAAACTGGATGCTAGATACTTTTCTCCCACAGCGGCCTTACTCACTTTTAAGAATTCTGTTTCCTCGACGAAGTGTATTAGAATATTTTTCTCTTGAAATTTCCAATCAAACACTTTTTGTATTTCAAGGAAAAGGGCTTCGCATTCGTCAGCTTCCGTAATCGCCGAATCCCGGCACTCCGGACATTGATGCAGACCATCATTAAGTAAATGATATTTGGTGTTCCTTGGCTTTATTCCTCCACAGCTACAACACCTAGGAGTTCCGTCGTCCTCATGAGAGGGACAGGATACTTGTAGCGAGATAGGATGTACCTTAGACACAACAGTACCATCTGAATTTGATGGGATTAAAATTTCACAAACACCACATCGCAAGTTAAGATCTCCTTCAGACTCATCTCTTCTGCGGAGATGAAAATCTTCATTGTCTTGTAATCCCAAGAGCTCATATCGTTCCTCTATGTGGTGTTGGATCAACAGAGGTTCCTTTCTGGTTGTAATAATGATTCTGCTCCCCAAACCAAACCAGTCTTTCTTCCCAGCCAATATTTGCAGCTGGTTTAATTGATCCACATCATCAATAAGCAGAAGCACCTTTTTATCACTCAAACAATACTTGATCATATCGGATCCACTATGAACATTCCAAACATCATTCACCTTTTGCTTCAAGATTGGGGAAAGAAGTTGTTTTTGTAAATGAACAGGCCCATGTGTTGCACAAACCTCTCTCACACTAGCAAGAAAGCAGCTAACATCAAAGTGATGGGAAATTCGATCATAAACAAGTCTTGCAGTAGTTGTCTTACCTGTGCCACCATCCCCCCATATCCCTATAAAGCGAACATCTTTTGCCTCACGATCTAATAGCAATTCTATTTTCTTCAGTCTAAAATCAATTCCCACAAACTCTGTTGTGGAACCTGGCAATGTGAATATTGTAGGATGCACTTTGTTACACACTTCTTCCACAATTTCTTTGATAAGGTCGCTCTCATCTCTACAACCAAGAAAAAACCGTCCGGTGAGATTACATATATGAAGCATAATTTGAAAAAACGAATAATAAATGAGCATTTGTGCATGCATACCTATCTTTTGAAGTCCACCCAGCGATATTACCAACTTTTGTAAGAGCATCTCTCCATCGTTGAACCTTTTCTTTTTTAAAGTTCTTTTCATGTTTGTTGAAGGCTTCGGCAAAAGTTCCCATTTGCTTTCGTACATCAGAGGGATCTACATCATAAAAAACTGGTAGAATGGTGTCAATTTTCATGCACTCAACAATCTTTGAAAGCTCATCTAAGCACCAGGTGGAAGAAGCATAGTTTGGTGAGAGGATAACGATCGCAAACCATGATTCTTCGACTGCTCTTAGTAGAGTTGGTGAAATAGTTGTACCTCTTTCAAGGTCATTGTCGTCCCTAAAAGTTGTAACTGAGCGAAACCACAACCTGTCATATAGATGAGCTGTAAAACCCCTGCGAGTGTCGATGCCCCTAAAACTCAAGAACACTTTATATTTGCATTGAGAAGGTGAGGGAGCAGAAGTGGAGGCTCTTTGGCTGCTGAAAGCCATTCGGCAGTGGTCGCAAGTTTTCTGCTAGAAACACAAAAGATACAAGAACTTTTGGTAGAATATTAGAGAGAAAAAAAAATAAAAAAATTGCATACTATTTCAGATGCTGAAATAACCTGTAAGATTGCTATACAAATCTGTCAATTAATACAAGCAAGATCGTAAATAGCACGAAAATGAAACTGGAACAAGGAATGGAAATCGCGGAGAGAGAGAGAGAGATAAGGTACGTCACGTGTGTGAAGGGTGAAACAATCGAAGAAGAACATAGAGAAAATTTTTGAGAGGGCGGCAGTGGTGTGTTGGTGAAACCAAAGAAGAGACATAGGAAGAGATGTTGTTTGACTTTGGTGAGGGAGTGGAAAATGTGTCCACCCTTTCTATCTGCTCTTTGAGATTACAGCTCTCAAGTTTTTCCTTTTTTTTTTTCTCTCTCTCTCTCTGGTTAAGGAGTTTTTGTTTTTACTGAAAGGCTGTAGATTATTTTCCAATTTTTGTGTATGATTTCCAGTCTCTCCTGTGTGGAGGTTGTTAGACCGGCATTTTAGTAAGGACATGTTGCTTCTCTCATTCCTAGGGGACATTCCTTATTCCAACAAATTATTGTTGGATACATATTCAAAACTAATATACCAAAAAATATATTTAAAAAATTTGATATCTGCATTGGATGTGATAGGAATGTCATTCCATGTTTTTTTTTCTTTTGGTAAAACATTCCATGTTTCTTTTATGGAAGGAAAGGAATATGATAGAATATATGTTTCTTTTTTGGGGTTTGGGATTTGGGCTAAAATAGCTCTTTTCACAATTTTTATTCTATAACGTCATCTCCAACCATCAGGCCAAACTCAAAAAATCTAAAACTCTAGCTCAATTCCTCTTCCAGCATAAAAAAAGTAAGGGGCTAAAATTTAGAAAAACCCAAACTTGGGGTCAAATATCAATCCAGTTATTGCTTGAACTGGAATTTTTTTTTTGGGAGCCCACTCAAGGCTCACGCAGCCCATGTGCAAGGAGTTGTGAATGGAGCCAACGCTGCTGGTGCTGCAGAAGTTGTCGCACCACGTGTCAAAAGCTAGGGATGTTGCCGTTGGAATCCAATGACACAATTCAAAACACCTCCTTTTTTTTTCTCTTTTTTATTCCTCAAATCAACGATCTCAATTAAATCCAAGGTATTTTAAACGTAAAAAAAAAAAAAAAAAGATCCAACGATTGAAATTTAAATCCAATGATCAAAAAAATAATATTTTAAATTAATCTAAATCAGATTCAACCCCAAAACTCACTCCAAACTCTATAAATACCCACCTATTTCTCAAATAATCTACCAAAAACATTTATTATATTTCTCAATTTATTTTTCCTTTCTCAATTTTGTTGGTGCTCAAAACTGGGTGGGCAAAGGGTGAGACCTTTGGTACCCGTCGAAGGCCCTTCGATTCTAAAGTTAGCCGAAAGAGAGAGGATAGCTAATTGACAAAAGAGGGGTATAAATGTCAGATTGCCATTACCTTTTGCCCATGGGGAAAGGGGCTCTATTTATAGAGGTTTGGGGGTGTTTGCTTGGTGTAAATTTTCTATGTGGGACTTGTGGTAGTGGCCTAGGAGGCTGCTACGTGTCCTAGTGACTGTACTTAGAACTTATGCCTTGTGAAGTACCTTAGACAAGGACAATCGGCAGGAGGGTACAGAAGGTACCCGCCGATTGTCGGATATGGGCCTCAGCGATTGGGCTGGTCAGCTTGGGCTTTCGTGGACCCCGTTTGATGTCAGGTTTCTTCCTTGTGTCACGGCTTGTGGGTCCGGTCAAATATGGTACAAACAGGAGTCCCTTCACATGGGGGGCAATTTCATCAAAGTTGTTCCATTATAAGAGAAACAACCACGTTTGAGTCTCCTCCATTCCAATTTCGAGTCGACTTTGGTGGCTAGGGTGTCTTTTAATAAAAAATGTGATTTCTTGGTTGAAGCACCGAAAAGCCATATTAGCAATGGCAAGCCCTCTCCCAAGATATAATCTCTTTACAGATCCACCATACTCTTTGGAAAAATTGCTTCTAAGCAACTCAACAATGGTGTCCTCCTGGAATTATGAAAAACATGCACAAAAATGTGTATCGGGGTCGAGAGCCTCAGTGAAAGCCACTCCTTCCATGAACACTTGGCTGGCAAGAAGAAAAACATGCGGGGAAGCAGCGCTGATGCCTTCTTTGTCACCTTCCACATTGCCCTCAAGTACATAAACTATGGGGAGCAAAAGGCCAATAATGGCACCCACGAGAACATAGAGGCGCAATATATTGTTTTGGGGGGGTTAAAGAATGTGGGGTTTTAGGAGAATTGAGGGTTGTGGGGAAAGCAACTTTGGAAATAAACTAGATGTAGATCAAACGAAGCACAATATTATCCATTGGTACTGCATATCCAGCCAACGCTGTCTTCCAACAATAACATCCTGATTTCTACTTATGAGTCACCAAAAGTGAGCACATGACAGATTCGAAACAAAGTTTGGAGATGAGGGTTTTGGGGGTTAAGCCCAAAAATTAGGTTTTGTTAGAACCCTAGCCCCCAAAGTCGACCCCAATTTGGAACGGAGGAGACTCAACGTGGCTGTTTCTCTTAGAATGGAAAATTGCCCCTCCACGTGAGGGGCACGTGTTTAAAAATTAACGGAGGTGAGAGAGAACAGAAATTGTAATTTGTCTTTGAATTGTTTAAATTGAAAATCACATGGACAAAATTGATCAAATTGAAATAATAGTGACCAAAGTGGTAAAAGTGGCAAACTATGAGAATCAAAAATGACTTTTTACCAAAAAAAGAAGGGAAAAAAAGGTTCCTGAACTAATCGATCGACAAACTATAGGACTCAGCCAGCTTTTCTCTCCAGTGCCGCGACCCAGCAAAACCCAGATCCAACGCCACATATCCTCCTTTGGGGGGAGGAGGCCTCTACCCCTCTCTCCCATCTCTCTTCCTTGGTTTTTGATTTTCTTTTGCGGTTCGTGCTTGAGCTTTCTTGCTCGTTTTTGGGGCTTCTTACCTCTTTGCTAGGGCTTTGCCTCCTATCTTTATTGTTCCCTCAAATCTCTATCATTCCACTCCTCTCAGTGTTATCCCTTGGTTGTTCTCCAATCAGTTCCTGCTTCCCTTTGTTGTAGCAGATAACCCGCAAAGCGATTTCTCGTGTTTATCTTGGAAAGTGTGTAGAGTCACGGCGTGCTTGCACCACCTCCTTCCCTGTCCTGATTCCCTGGGGTTGCCTTGAGTGTTGCTGGTTTATGGTGGTTGTTTGGTGGTGCTTCTGCATTTATGTGGTTTTTGTTGGTTTCTGTTGCTCCTGTTCATTGATATTGCAGATCAGATCTGTGCTTCCTTGTATTGTTGTATTTGTTCCATCCTTTATGGTGAGTTTTTCGTAATGAAATTTCATCCTTCGACCAAGAAAAAAAAAACCATAGGACTCGGCCAGGGAAATTTTTTTCTCTGGTTCTTCTTCCTTTTTCTATACAAGCGCGCATCTCCCTTCTTCTCCCAATTTCTTCTTGTCTCTCCAGTCGAAAAATTCTCTCTTCTCATTCATTCATATAGAGGAGTTATATCCCCTTTATATTTTATTCTTTTGATCCCTTGTACATTGACTTTTCTTGTGTGTTTGTGGCTTCCGCAAAAGTTCCTATTTGTTTTCGGACATCAGTAGGATCTACATCATAAAAAATTGGTAGAATGGTGTCGACGTCCATGCAGTCAACAATCTTTGAAACCTCATCTAGGCACCAGGATGAAGAAGCATAGTTTGGTGAGAGGATAACGATCGCAATCCGTGATTCTTCGATTGCTCTCAGTAAATTTGGTGAAATAGCTGTACCTCTTACAAGTTCATTGTCGTCCCTGAAAGTTGTAATTGAGCGGAACCACAATCTGTGATATAGATGAGCTGTAAAACGCCTGCGAGTGTCTATGCCCCTAAAACTCAAGAACACATGGTATTTCCATAGAAAAGTTGAAGGAGCAGAAGTGGAGGCTCTTTGGCTGCTGAAAGCCATTCGGCAGTGGTTGCAAGTAATCTGCTAGAAACGCAAAAGATACAAGAACTTTTGGTAGAATATTAGAGTGAAAAAACATAAAACTGAATACTATTTCAGATGCTGAAATAACCTGTAAGATTGCTATACAAGTCTGTCAATTAATACAAGCAAGATCGTAAAAGCCACGAAAATGAAACTGGAACAAGGAATGGAAATCGCAGAGAGAGAGAGAGATAAGGTACATCACGTGTGTGAAAGGTGAAACAATCGAAGAACATAGAGAAAAATTATGAGAGGGCGGCAGGGGTGTGTTGGTGAAACCAAAGAAGAGACATTGGAAGAGATGTCGTTTGACTTTGTTGAGGGAGTGGAAAATGGGTCCACCCTTTCTCTCCGCTCTTTGAGATTTCAGCTCTCAAGTTTTTCCTTTCTTACCCCGTCGTTGGTTAAGGAGTTTTTGTTTTTACTGGCTGTAGATTCTTTTCCATTTTTTGTGTGTATGATTTCCAGTCTCTCCGTGTGGAGGCTGGCATTTTAGTAAGGACATGCTGCTTGCCTCATTACCTAGGGACATTCCTCCTTCCAACAAATTACTATACAACAAATATGCAAAAATAATTAATCAATAACACCCAAAAAAAAAAAATGATATCTGCATTGGATGTGAAAGGAATGTCATTCCATGTTTCTTGTATGGAAGGAATTTTTTTTTCTTTTATGTAAGACTGAGAGAACTAGGTCATGAAGGTTTGACAGTGACCACTTTAATGTTTGGTGTATGGTTCATATCAATTTTCTGTGAGCAATTTAGATTTTATCACTACAAAGTGTGCCTTCCCAGAACACGATCACACTTTTGGCCCAACACAACAGGGCGCCAATTTGTGATGCCGTTTTGCGGATCAACACCATTAGATGTAAATTAAAAATAAATAAATATATTTCCTAAAGAAACCTGAAATCTAATGCCTTTCTTCCTCTTGTTCTTCTTTCTTTTTCTCTACAAGCGCGTGTCTCCCTTCTTCTCCCAAATTCTTCTCGTCTCTTCAGTCCAAAAATTCCCCCTTTCTTTTTCCCATTAGATTTTTTTATAAGGGTTGGGTTCGTTTAATTTGAGTTTGATTATAGGAGTGAATGATGCAAAATCAAAATAACTTGTTACAATAATAGGTACGTGTGGGAATAACCCAGGTGTCTATGGTTGTTCTATATTGTCAGTCCATACTTGCGGGATTGAACATTAGGGATTGTCAAGAACTGTTAATCATATGGGAAGAGAAGAAATACTTTTTGATTGGGAAATACATAGCTTGATGAATATGAAAAGAAGAGCTTCAGAGTTAAGTTTGTCGTTTATTTAATTAAGGAATTTTTTTTTATCTTTTTTATTTCTTACGAAATTGATGAGTTTTTATTTTAGATTGATGTGTCAACTTTAAATCCGCTAGATTAAATTTAAATGAGGTAGTGTGTGAATGGGAAAAGTCAGGCAAATTCTAGAAGAGAAAATAAAAATAAAGAATTTGCTAGATCTCTAATTTAGAAGCATAGAGAGGACTAAATATATATTGATGTGCTTACAATTCACGTAGTGCACATAGTATATTGGTGTTTCATGTGAATAAAAGCTTCATGTATCTAATTTTGGAAACCATGTTTGATTGTTTAAGCATGTGTTTTCTTATTTTGCCATGTGTTTCAAATTAAGAGCAAATAAATGTTAATTGCAAGGTGCTTGTAGCTCAAGTGGTTAAGAACAATCATCCATGCACCTAAGGTCCTGTATGTGTTCGAAGCCTCTAATATTGCTTGTATAAAAATAAAAAGAAATATGTTAGTTAGTTCAAACCTTGGAAATGGGCGTCTCATCAATAACATGCATTTCAAGGAATGGAAATCGCAGAGAGAGAGAGAGAGAGAGAGAGAGAGAGAGAGAGAGAGAGAGAGAGAAGGTACGTCGCAGTGTGAAAAGTGAAACAATCGAAGAAGAAGATTTAGAAAATTATGAGAGGGCGGCAGGGGTGTGTTGGTGAAACCAAAGAAGAGACATAGGAAGAGATGTTGTTTGAATTTCGTGAGGGGGTGAGTGGAAACTGCGTCTACTCTTGAGTTATCACCTCTCACACCATGGTTTTTCCTTTCCTTTGTTTTTGTTTTTTTACAAATGGTTTTAAAGAAAATAATACGAGAAGATAAGATTAATATAGAATAGACAAGCTAATTCATATTACACAATGAAAAAGAAAAACAATATGCGTAAAATGATAGGAACAAGAAATTATTTTTTTAATATATAAAGAAAACAAAATTGATTTAACAAGAAGTTCCCATTGGCACTGATATTTGTTAGTTTTAGGATGATAAGATTGAAGAGTAGTAAGACTTTTTCTTCTATTTTTCTATGGTTCTAACTTCTATATGGCTAAACGATATAGCACTTAGTTTGGAAAAAACATGGAAAACTCATGGTGATGTTATTATGAGTACCTTTTCAAGGTGAGGAGAGCTTCCAGATTTTTCATAATTTGAACAATAATTTTGTCTTTGTAATATGAATTATCTGGTCTGTCCTGTATTAAGTTTCTTCTCATATTAACAATAATTAATATTTTATGGCTCGCCAATTAGTTAAATTTGCTTTCTTTAGGATGATTTGTGTTTTCTGTATTCTATTGATGAATAAAGTCTTTGGTCTTTGGTTACTTTTTCGTGTCGTTATATGTACGTTCTTGATATTATGAATAAACATTTGCTTCTAAAAAAAAATTCTTTGGCCTTTAATTTAAATATAAACAAAAAGAATATGGCATGAGAGGTTGAAATTTGTACTATGAACGACTTGAGGGTGCCAATTGTCATTGTGAACTAAAATCCTGGCTCTGCCTCTGCAAAAAAACAAAAAACACTTCAACCAAAGACGAGACGCAGTTTCCATTCACTCCCTCACGAAGGTCAAACAACATCAACAAAAACATATTTGTTTTAACAGAGAAGTTGACGGGGGCATGTGACCCCCTTGGCACTATGGCTTGGTTTTTCGTTTGGTTTTTACTGAAAACCTTCTTTCAATTTTTTTCTGGGTTTGATTTTCTTTTATTTCTCTAGTACTGAAGCTACTTTGCTTCGATTTGAGTCCATGTTTGAGTGTCACAATTCTTCTTCACTGAGGGACACTTGACAAGAACTGCTACCTTCCTTGTAGCTAATACCATGTAGAGAAAGACAATATTCCAAGTTCCAAAAAATTACTTCTCAAGTAGTGCAAATTTCACACTAGTCCAAGGCACACGACCACAAAATAGGATATGAGAAAGGTATTGATCAGACAATCAAATTTTCATTAGCAACAAAGCAGCTTATAGAACATGAGAGCAACACCAGACCGAAAAAACCGGAATATACACAACTGGTCCCGGTGTCGGTTTCACACCTTATAAAACCAAACTAGACCGGTTGTGTATTTTTTTAGTTTTTTTAAAAATTATTTAAGTCCAATGCTAAATTTCTAATCCCATAAGCCAACTTCAAATCACCTCTCTTTTCTAGGCCCAAACATCTCTCTCTGCATGAAATTGGGTTATTTGTGAATTTTTAAGCCCAAAAAATAAAATTTTAGATGAAATTTGTTCAAACAAAAATTTTGAAAAATATATAATAAAAATATGGTCCAAAATAGAAAACCACACCGGAACCGATTTAAACCGGACCAAATCACCACTAGTTGAATGGTATTGATTTCAATTCTAGTGTAAAGTAAAAACCGAACCAAATCAGACCGTCCCCACCCCTACACCAGACTTACAAAGCTTACACTATAAACTACAGTTATGAAAAGATTAGATCAATTAAAGCTAAAGTAGCAGCTCTTAAGCAAAAGTGAAAAGTTTTCTAGGAAGAAAAGAAAAGAAAAGTAATAGTGCAAGCTGTGCACAAGAAAAATGTAGGTTCCCAAGGTGGCTGGAAGAAAGTGAAATTAAGATCGTTGTTGGTGAGTTGAGTAGATGATAAACAGAGATTCTAAAAAACCAACTTAATTTGAACATATATAGCACATCATCAGTTTTTGCATTTCTGATTGCGCTTTAAAACCAAAGCCAAAGGTTACAACAGAAAACGAGCATACAACTAAAAACAAAATGGGAACAATAACAACATGGCCAGTGCCCATGTTTCATCCCTTTAATTACAGTCTAATTAAGCACTATGTTCACCAGTGTCGTGATTATCTTCAGTGTTTCTTCGATTCCGAATAAGGATCGAACCCGACACACAGAAGATCAAGAGGAAGGGCCAAAAGCACACTCTGATAGGATTGTCAACATGCCTACTGAGGTAAGCATACTGAACTATGGAGAAAGCCAATTGAAAGAAGGCTCCAAGTAGTCCAAAGACATCAGAGAAAGTACCGAAAAGCCTGTTACGAGGAGGTGGATGATAAAACAAGGGCGGCATTCCCCTCCTCCTCACCAATCGGACTCTTTCCTTTCTGGCCTTGAGAAAGAGCTCCGCGATGCAAGTGAGCAGAGCTAGAATAGCCAACAACATAGCAACAAGTGCAAAGTGGGGCTTTCTTGGGGAGGAGACCTGTTCAAACACAGCTGATACAATCTCTAGGCAGAGGCTAGCCAGTAAAAACATCCACTGTGCTGAAACAGAAACATTAGCTATGTTTTCCCTAATTTGCCTTGGATGATGAATCTGAATCTGATTGTTGCCCTCATGATCCAAATACTCAGGCAAATGACGCAAACGGGTTCCGCCACATAAATAGTCAGACAAACGCGGAAGTGAAAGGTTAGGGAGAGGAAAATCTAGGAGGTTTTCGACGGAAGGAGGAGAAAAATCTAGGAGGTTTTCGATGGAATGAGGAGGAAAATCTAGGAAGTTTTCGATGGAATGAGGAGGAAAAAGTTGTCGTAAGGGATTATGTAGTTTCCAGCAAACAAATCGAAAGAGATGAATACTGTTAACGATACTGTTAGGGAAACGAATAATACCATCATCTCTATGGAAAGTGG